ATGAACTGGAAACCAAAAGCCACTTGAAAGAAGATCGGGCAAGACAGGCCAAGATACTGGAGGTAGAAAGGAACCGGATTTGGGGGGAGGCAGATTGAAGCGGAGAAATTAACCATCTTTTGCTGTACAAAGACCCCCGGCCCACCCAGCCTCTCACCTGCAAAGCCCTGAAGGGCATCTGGGGCCTCTCCTCCCCTGCCTCATGCAGCCTCCCTTGATCTGCCCCCCCCCCTTGGATCCCGCTTCAGAGGGGGCCCAGCTGGCGTGGCTGGGGGTTGCAAGGCGGGTCCTTACCTTGCAAGACCCTTGAAGTAAAACACCCTAAACTGCCCCCCCCCCTTGGATCCCGCTTCAGAGGGGGCCCAGCTGGCGTGGCTGGGGGTTGCAAGGCGGGTCCTTACCTTGCAAGACCCTTGAAGTAAAACACCCTAAACTGCCCCCCCCCGGGTGCTTTGAGCGACCGTGGCCTCCCCCCCACCCTGCAGCTGGCAGAAGGCGGAGCCCAGGGGCTCACCCTGTGCTCCCCTGCGGAAGGGGTGGTTCCCCATGGCCCTTTCAGTCGGGGGACCCTAGTGAGGGCCAGCCAGAAGCCCTCCAGAGAAGGGTCCTTCAGGTGGAGAGAGTTTCCCTCTGGAGCCCCTGCCAGAGGGGGCCTCTCCCCAGGTGCTCTCGGCTTCCTTTATGATGGGTGCCAGGCTGAGAACTCTCCCTGGAGGGCCCTGGGGTCTTCTCTCCCTCCTTCCCTCCGGCAGGGTCTCATTTCGGGGGCTCTGGTGTGGTGGGTGGCACAGATTTTGCAGGGGGCTGATGTTCTCCTCCTCAGGACAAGATATCCCAGCTGGAGTTGGAGCTGGAAGAAGAACGGAGCAGTTCTGACATCCTCTCTGGGAGGATCGGCAGGGGCAGAGAACAGGTGGGCATCGGCTCAGCTCAGCTGGCGGTCGCAGGATTGGGGAGGGGCGGGAAGCCCCAGCTGGGCCTGCTCTGCCTCCAGCGGCTGCCTTGGGAGCATCTCTGGGAAGCAGGCTTGGCCCTCCCCATAACCAGGGCCTCCGCACTCACGCACACATGCACCCCCCCCCCCCCCAGCAGTCAGCCCAGGTGGATTCCAGGAGGTGGTCCGGCCCCTGCAGTGACCCGTCCCCTTCCACCTTCTCTCCCTGGCAAGGCCTGGCAGAGGCTCCCCTGGAGGCTGGAAGCACGTAGAGCTCAGCCGATGGCTTCAATTAGGCAAACAAGGCTCCAGGCCTCCCCGTTTCCCTCCCACGGGACAAAGCCTGGCTTGTCCTCGGTCCGGCTTGGCTATTTCAGGTCTACTAAACATTCACAGCAGCGGAATAATAGCTCTGTTATTGGTCATTATCACTGTTGATTAAGCGACTAGCCAGCCAGGAACAAGGAGTGCAGCCCCCGTGCCCAGCCCAGCTTTTCCGAGGGGCCTGGAGGGGCGGCTGCAGGGAAGAGAGCCCAAGGCTTCTCGGATTGCACATAACCGCAGGGGTTGCCACAGGTGCAGCCTCCTTCAGAGGGCCTCTCCTGCCTTTGCCCCTGCCTTCTTTCCCCCTGGATCTGACTTTTCACTTACTGTGACTGTTTTTCTCTCCCCTCCCTCCCTCCCTCCCTCCCTCCCTCCTTCCTCTGCAGGTGGAGCAAATGCGGAGTGAACTCCTCCAGGAGAGGACAGCCAGGCAAGAACTGGAGGGCGACAAGGCTGCCCTGGAAAGGCAGGTCAGCAGGCCGCGGGGTCTTTGCTCTGCTCTGGGACTGCAGCCCCAGCCCTGAGCCTCGGCCAGCCCCCTCTGGGTCCACGGCCGGCCTCCTCCAGGCTCCCTCGCCCTGCAGCCAGGCCCCTCGGGCTGCCCAGAGTTCGGCAGGTTGAGGGCTTCCCTGCGGTTTGTGCCCAGACGGGCTGCCTGCACCCACCAGCTCCCCTTCCTCTTTCAAGCCTTCAGAGTCCTTTTCCCCAGGACGAATCTCTTGACACCAACCCACCTGGCAGCCAGTGCTTAACGACCGGGCACCCACTGCCCACTGGAGCCTGCCTGGTGCTGCCTCTCCTCCCTTCTGCTCCATGCACTTAAGTTGGGCGAGGGTTCCTCCCTGAACCTCCTGCAGTTTCCGGGCTCCTTGGCTGACAGAGGGGGGGGGGGCGATTCCTTCTGCAGAACAAGGAGCTGAGAGGGCGGATCCTCCACCTGGAAGGCTGTCACAAGCCCAGCAAGGAGGGCCTCCTGGCCCAGATGGAAGCCCGCCTCCTGGCCCTGGAGGAGCAGCTGGAGAATGAGGAGAGGTATGAGGAGGTGCCTCCCAAAGCCCCCCTCCCCCGGGGCTCTCCTCCCCCCCCCACCGGCTTTTCGCTTTGCTCTGTGGGTCACGCCTGATTCACAGGAAACCCCCCCCCCCAATGGGGGCCTTCTGGGATTCTTGGAGTTGCCCCCTTGCCCACAGACGGAAGACCGATCCTGGGATTTCCTTCTGTCCTCCTGCCAGGAAACAGCCTGAGTAGCCACACAGAGTTTGAGGAATAAATACAATTACATTAAATTAAAATAGCCAGCAGTGCTCTGCAGGGAGAGAGGTTTGAGGTGGAAAAGAGGCATTTGGGGGGCCTGTAGCTGCCCCGGCCGGCCTCTCCTTCAGCCACAGCCTCTCTCCCCAAAGCCCAGGCCAGGAGGCAGCCGTGGGGGCGAGACATGAGCCCCAGCCCCTCCCCTCCCCATGTGGCCCAGCCCACTTGGCTGCAGTCCCCCCACCACTCCGGAGGTCCCTGTGCCTGGCAGGCAGAAGGAAGGGGGTGGGAGGCAATCCTAAATGCAACTGCAATCACTCCATGCAGACATGGAAGCGTATGACTGGCTTCTCCCTTGTCCGTCCTTGGATAAGGACCGTTTTCTATATTATTCGTGTTGTTTTGTGTTTTCTTATGGATTGCACCAGGAGAAGCTAAACCAATTCCATTGTATATGTATATATATATATACATACAATGACAATAAAGCTTATAACAAGCAGTGCTTGGGGGAGGCCAGGATAACGGGAGCAGGGAAGCCCCTTGGGAGCCAGAGGGGTCCTCACCTGGCGCCCCCTCCCCTTCTGGCCTCCCTAGGGACCGAGCTCGCCTCCAGCTGACCAACCGCCGCCTGGAGAGGACGGTGAAGGAGCTCCTGATGCAGGTGGATGACGAGCATCTCTCCTTGACTGACCAGAAGGACCAGGTGAGCAGGGAAGGGCCCTGAGGGACCCGGGGCTTCTTGGGGGCCCCCAAGGAGCCTCCCTCTGATTCCAGGAGGGCCCCCTCCTCGCTCCACAGCTCGGCCTGCGCCTGAAGGCTATGAAGCGGCAGGTGGAGGAAGCAGAGGAAGAAATAGACAGGCTGGAGAACACCAAGAAGAAGCTCCAGAGGGACCTGGAAGACCAAGTGGACCTCAACGACCAGCTACAAGGACAGCTGACCACCATCCGGCAGGACCTCAGGTGGGAAGGGGGGCTTGGGCAGCCTTGCCGGTTTCCCTGGTGCCCCCGCTCATGTGCAGGCAGGGCCCCCTGCTCCCTTCCGCGTCTTCCTCTCCTAAAGAGGGTGGTGCTGCATGGGCAGCCAGCCTCCCCTGAGCCCCTCCAGGCTGGGCTCCTGCCGCCGCTCAGCCTGGATTCTTCCAACAAACGGACCGCCTGGCTCTTCCGTGTCCAGGAATGGGGCTGTGCTGACCTTCCCTAGGAGGGGATCCACCTGCCCCAAACCAGGTGTGCCCTGCAGGTCCTTGAAGGACTCGGCTCTCCGGGCTGCACCCACCACGGCTTTATCTGCTTTGCCAAACAGATGAAACTCCAGGTGTGGCCCAGAAGGCTGCAGGGCGTTTCTCAGTGGGTGAACCTGCCTCTCCTTCCGCAGGCGCCAGAAGAGCTCCAGTAAGCTGCTGAGCGACTTGGACTACGACGAGGACGATGACTTCAGCACAGATGGGGGGAGCCTTTTCGACGCCCCCCTGGGGCTGAAGTCCTTCACGGCCGGCGAGGGCAAAGCCAAGCAGGACGCCAGCCAGCCTTAAAGGCCGAGGGGCTCCACAGAATCAAGGTGCCACCGGCTGCAGGAACCAGAGCACCGGGTGACCCAGGCTCCTTTTTCCGAAATGCTCCATGTTCAGATTTGTTTCAGAAATAAACTTTTGTGAACAAAAAGGAGCTGGCCTTCCACAGATTCAGGGATACTTCCAGCTCTGAGCGCCTGGCCGGCCCCAGACTGCTCCCCTCCCGAGCTCTTCCTTCTCCTTGGAAGCTGTTTCAGACCGAGGAGAGGAAGGATGTATTATCCCTTGTTTACGAGAGCAGAGGAAGGAATATACAAAGCAGGAGGGAAGAATGGATGTATTTCTGAATCAAGAGTTTTCGCAACTCTTGCAACATTTTTGTGTAGTTTCATGTTTCTATAGCGCACATCAATATTGCAGGAATCTATATTAAGTGTCATATCATCCATAAGCTTTAAAACCCTATTGCAGTAAACTCCACTTGCTCAGCAAACGTGTTTATGGGCTGAAGGAGGGCAGCGTGGAAAAAGCTGGACCTTCTGCCAGGAGCCATTTCTGCTCAGAAAAACTGTTCCCCGCTCCCCGTCTTGGCTTCCTCACTCGGACCTCCAGGGATCCATCGATGCGGGGACCGTTGACGTCCTGATCTTGCCAGACTTTAGAAAAGGAGCCTCTGGTGGGTTATAAAGGTCACTGAGAAGCACATCTGGAAAGGCACTTCTGTTTTCTTGTCTTCTGGCTTTAATTGTAGTTACCTGTAAGCGGCCTCTGAGTGCACTGGAAGAACTTCCAAGTATTTGCAAAAGTTTCTATTTTAACCTGCATTTTTATCTTTCCACCAAATCTTGGCTCTATTAGGACAATCTTTAATGAGGAAATAATAGTATTAGCAGCCCTATGCAATTCTTCTCTTCTGCAACTTGTTAAAGTGTTCAATTCAAAACTGGTTAGCATCAAATGCTTTTTCCAGAGTCAGCACTGAGGATATTAAATTCCGACATAAAAGCGAATCCTGGAAGCTGCACAAAGGAGTCTCGTCATGGAAGAACGCAGTTGTCAGCTCCAAGTGATGCACCCATAACAAATCGGACTGCGAGGCATTGCTTTTCCTGGAAGAACCAATATATCCCTTGAGAGAAAATATTTCTCCCAAGAAGCCGGGGCATCTGGACTTTGTGGGTTCATGAGGGGAACCTTAAGGAGGGCCTGCTCTGAGCCCCCAGCGGCCTTTGGGCTTCATTACCTCCACTGGAGACACCGAGAACTGCCTTTGCCTCCCACCCACCAATCCCAAGGGCCGCCGCACGGGAGGAGCAGAGACGGAGAGGAAGGGAACGGGGGGAGGGAAGGGAAGGGCAGGGTTTTGATTTGGGAGCCTCAGATGCAGAGACAGCACGTCCTCATGTCCAGCTGACTTGTTCACGGAAGGAGAGCAACTGGTCCTGGTGGCCGGTTACTGCTGGCTCTGGTGGCCACGATTC